AAAAATTGCAAGCAATTACTTTGCATCACAAGAAACAAACTAATGTGAGAGGGGAACAAATGAAATCAAATTTACGGCCAGGCCACAACCCATAAACACTTACTGCAGGCGAACCATGAAAGAAAACGTTTACTGATAACAAAGAAAGGAAGAAAAAAACAGAACATGATAGAAACACAAAAAAAATCTATAAATAAATAAAAATAAATTAACAATGCACACCTGAAGAAAATAGGAAAACTCAAACTTTATTTTCTTGAAGTTCTGGTTACAAGCCTCAGATTTGCCCTTCTTCTCTCAATTTTCAAATCCCTCTTTTTCCCCAATTTTCTCCTCAATTCTCCTCCCCCTAAAAGCCGAAGGTGCCCCCCCTTTTATACAAAAATAGAGAGGACTCCAATCCTTTTTCTAACTCTAAATTCTAATCCCAATCCCCAAGATTACAGATAATAATATAATCCTATTTGAAATTGGAATCTTAAAATTAATCTAGTCTTTACACATCTTCCCTCTTTTAAGGCTAGATTCATATCTTCAAAATATCAGGACTCCCAATTTGAATCGACTTCGAACTCCTTGGAGTTGATGACTTATGGTTTGTCCATCTTTATCCAAATCCTTCAATTGGTTGAGCTTATCTTCAAAGAAAATCTTCTTGGCATCATGCTGGAGTTGATGAGAGAAGGGGTGCGGTAGAGAGAGATCTTAACCCCTTCAAGTTTCCAACTTTACAAAAACAGTCCATTGACTTCTGATTTTAGCATTTAGTCCCTTAGTAAAAATTGGGTTATGACAGTTGCCCCCTCTTTACTTTTCTTTTTGTAAAAAGAAAAGTAAAGAATAAAAGAATAACCCAATTTTTAAGCTTTGAAAACAATTTATAAGTGAAAGCTTGTGGTCTTCATTCTATCTTTTGCAAGATGCGGTCTTCATCTCTTATTCTTCCTCAGATGCAGTCTTCATCTAAGATGTGGTCTTCATCTTCTCCTTTGCGAGATGCGATCTTCATCTCTCCTTCTTCCTTAGATGCGGTCTTCATCTTATCGTTTGTGAGATGCAGTCTTCATCTCTTCTTCTTCCTCAGATGTGGTCTTTTTTTTTCTTTTTTTTTTTT